CCGGCCGCGGGGCTCCTTCTCACAGCCGACCGTCTCCGCCCTTGCCGCCCCTCTCTTGCCCTGACTCAAGCCTTTGTCCGTCCTCCCCGGTCGGTTGGTCCAGTGGGGCCGCCTCCGTCCGCAAGATGCCAGAGTGTTGGGACGGGGTGAGTGCGCTCGGAGCGGGCGGGAGGGAGTACTGGGCCCGGCCCGCCGTGGGGGGCGCAGAGGCACCCCGGGGTGGGGGAGGCTCCTGGTTCGCAGGACAGGTTGCGGGCAGCTAGGCCTGCGGAGAGGGCGGGCGCGGGGCATCTCTGCGGAGACGGGATGCGCTGTGACAAGGACTCGGCCGGGTGGCCCCGAGGCCCAGCTCCACGCGGGCCACTGTGTGTCCCCCCATAGCGTGTGACCTCCGCCTGGTGTCAGGCGCTGAGCCCCCAGGCGTGGCCTGCCCCCAGGGCCGTCTGTCTTCCTGCCGCTATGTTGGGGGGCGGGAAACGGCTTCTAGGTGGCTGCACGGGAGCTAGCTTCGGGCGACAGGACGCCTCCGACTCCCAGGAGAGCCGCGTGCGAAGCGCCTCCGTGCTCCCCAGGGCCTGTGGGCGCCAGCCTTGCGGATGCTGGGGAGGTCTCAGCGTGACCGTCCGCGACAATCGCCTGCCGGCGGGCAGGGGCGCCATCAAGCAGGGGTTCCTGCGGGGAGGGGTCACGCCTTCTGTGAGTGGGACTGGGCAGCACTAGACCCGTCAGCCCGAGGGGTCGTGGCGCCCGGTGGCTGCGAGTGCCTGTCCCCATCCACCCGCGGCCCCAGGTGCGCCAGACCTGGGCGGTTCACCGCCTAGGAGGGAGGAGGCAGGCAGGCACCCACCCCGCGTGCCGGTCCGCAGTGCCGAGATCGATCGCCCGCACCGAGGCGACGTCAGAGCCGCCCCAGCCCGTGAATTATGGATGCGGTCCCACGGACCTGCTCCCCAGCGCCGAGGGCTCTGCAGCCTCAAGGTCACGGGCGACGGGAGAGGGCTGGCCGAGAGGGGACGTCAGAGCCCCCTCCCTCGCTGCCGCAGTGACTCCAGCTGGCACCTACCTGGAGGCGGGGGGCGGGCTCTGATGTCACCCGGAGCCAATGGGAGCCCTCGGCCGGCCGCAGGGTTTGGTGGGCTCGCAGCGCGTCAGGCTGCAGTTCGTGGGGCGCCCCGCCCTGGGCAGCGCCTCCCCAGGGACTGGGATAGTGGGTCCGAGCCCCAGCCACACCGAAAGGGCGTCCCGGGTTGGCGCCCACCCAGGCCCAAACCTTCAGGGAAGCTGAATGTTGATGGGGCCAACACTGCGGCTGAATCTGCGCTGAGGATAAGGATGGAGCAGCCAGCCCGGGCAGGACAGAGAGGAAGGCAGTAAAGGGCACACACCAGCCTTGCCTGGGGGTGGGAGATGTGCGTGCACAAGAAAGGACAGTGGGCCTGCCTGTGCTGGCTGACTCGGGCTTCCAGGGTGAGCGCTGACCCTGCCCTGAGAACCGTGCTGCAGTGAAACGCATTGCAGCTGCCCAATGTGGGGCACCCCCTCCTGCCTTCCAGAGCGCAGGGAAAGGGAGGGAACTGTGGCAGGGACCTCCACGGATTCAGCTGGCTATGGAGGGGCTGCCCCTGACATACCGGTAGCCCCAGAGGCTGCCACTTGGCAAGGCCCCCTCTAGTCTTGACCTTGGCAAGTCACTTTCCAGCCTCAGTTTCCTTCTGTGCAGCTTGGGTCCATGTAATGGGTGAAGGACAAGAGTGTCCGGAATGTGGTCTTTCAGGCTGCGCGAGAGGAGCTGATGGAGGGGAGTCTGGTGGGCGTAGGGCTCACCTGGAAGACCATGGGGAAGGGAACAAGGCCTCACAATAGACCTGCAGCTCTCAGCGGCGGCCTCTGGCCACTTGTCACTGGGGGGAAGACAGGCCTAAACTGGGGTCCTCTGGGTCCAACCTGCCCCTGAGAAGCTGGTGGTTGCCTCGGTCCCCTTTCCCTGTCGGAGCCCCTGATTCATTGTTCAAGGGCAGGCCAAAGGCCCCCACCAACACACCTATCCTGCCCAGGCTAGGGCCCCAGGTGGTCCAGAGAAAGCTGCAGTCCTGGTACCTGGCAGGGCGGGTGGCTGAGGCGTGGAGGCCTGGGTGCCAGCCCTGGCTCAGGGTCCCAGTAAGCCCCAGGTCTCTGCGAGCCTATTTCCCATCTGCCCAGAGGAAAGAGCTTGCCACCCGTCCCAGAGTTGGTGCGCTCCCTCCGCTGCTGCTTCCCTTCTGGCCTGGGCGCTAGCCATCCTCTGATTCACACCCCAGATCCCCCCATGGTACAGGGCAGGGCTTTTTAGATTGCTCAGACCCACCCTCTTGGTATCTCTGGTGGAGTGGCCCAGAGATATGCCCAGAGAGGCCATTTGTTGAAAGGACCAGCCAGCCAGGCATCTCCGCCAGGGCTCAGAGAAGCCCTCTCCAAGGCTGGCCACTCCACATAGTGTTAGTTCTCACAACGTGCCTGCTCAAAGTCACACACTAGTAGCAGGGCCAGGCCTTAAACCCATAGCGTCTGGACCCAGGTTTGGGGCTGTGGGGGTCTGGGGGTGCCTGTTAGGCTTGGCTGGCACGGAGCTGTTTGCCCAGGGTCTGGAATCCCTGGGTGGTGCCAATGGTTAACCCTTAACCCACTCAGCTACTGACTGGACGGTGGGTGATTCACTCAGAGGCACCTGGGAAGAAAGGCCCGGCAATCTTCCTCTGAAAAACCAGCCACGAGAAACCCTGTGCCGCCCAGTTCTACCCAGACGCACATGTGGTCGCTGTGACTTGACAGCCACAGCCAGGCTGTTCAGGCTGTTCCCCTTAGGAGCAGGGAGCACCCCAGGGGTGTGAGGTTCGGGCTGGGATGCAGGGGTCAGTTGGAGGCTGTCTGGAAGGCGCTGCAGCAAGGAGGAGACAATGGGCCTCCGTGGGTCTCTGAGGGCTGAGGGCAGGGCAGGCGGGGCCCAGCACTTTTCCATGAGACACACATCCCGGGCTGGGAAGGGTGGGGTGCTTAGGGTGTTAAGAATGGGGGGTGCCTACCACAGGCCTGACAGCACCTAGCCTTGTTCCCCAGGGGAGCCAGGAACGGGGGCTGCCCAGAGTGTCCAGTGCTGTCTGTCCCCTCCAGGAACATGACATCGAGACGCCTTACGGGCTTCTGCACGTGGTGATCCGTGGCTCCCCCAAGGGGAACCGCCCAGCCATCCTCACCTACCATGACGTAGGCCTCAACCGTAAGTGCCCCGACCACCCAGGGCCTACAGTTCCACTCTTCAACCTCTGGGCATCCATCCATTTCCCTGGGGTCCCCTCTGCCCACTCCGTTTGGCCGCCGCCGCTGAGAAGTGTGTCTTTGCAGACAAGCTGTGCTTCAGCACCTTCTTCGACTTTGAGGATATGCAGGAGATCACCAAGCACTTCGTGGTGTGCCATGTGGACGCCCCTGGGCAGCAGGTCGGGGCCTCGCAGTTTCCCCAGGGGTAGGTGCCCTAAGCCCCCCAGTCTTCCCGCAGCTCTGGGGCCCCAGCTGCCCCTGAGCCCTGACCTCCTGCTCTGCCCACAGGTACCAGTTCCCGTCTATGGAGCAGCTGGCCGCCATGCTGCCCAGTGTGGTGCAGCATTTTGGGTGAGTCCCAGCCCACCCCACCTCCTGTGTACCCATGCTGGTGAGAAGGGGGCACACAGTGCTGCTCAGGGCCTCCCAGCGGGGCTGGGACATCTGTGGGGAATGGCTCCCCCAGCCCCAAATTTACCAGCCACACCCTCTTCCAGGTTCAAGTATGTGATCGGCATTGGCGTGGGGGCCGGAGCCTACGTGCTGGCCAAGTTTGCAGTAAGCATTGTGTGTCTGACCCCACTTTTCCGTGCACCCCCCCACCAGCCTACCCATGGCTTCCTCCTTGACCTTCCTGCTCAATGCTCTTCTCCTCAGCCCCCACCACCACCTGCACTTCCTTTTCATCTAGAAGACTCTCTTCTTTCTCTTTTCCTTCCAAGAAAAATTTACCCCCCTGGCTTAAAAAAAAAAACCAACACATTTTTCCATACGTGCTCTCAGAAGACTATAAACCATCACATTGAGCTTAACCCTTATTCCAGACCACAATTTCCATTCGCGACAGCGGTCTGGTAAATTGCCCCAGTCACTCAACAAGGATTGCCCCTCACTAGGTAAGGGAGCCCTTACACCCGGATCAGTTTACCCCCAAATTACACTGTGTATTATGCTTGCGAGGCTTTGAGTTGTAGTGGAAAGACCGTGAGTCTGCATAGCTGCTCAAATCTCAAATCAAAGGCTTAATTTTAGGATTTGAAAACCATTCTTTCATCAAAATAAATGACTAGGTATGGACGTTTTTTAGACGTTCAGAGGCCACCGAGGCTGACTGGACACTCTGAACTGTTGCCCTGAGACCACATGCCCTGCCACCTACTCCACACCGAGCAATAAGAACGAAACAAACAAAACGCACTGCGGTCCTGCCCGGCCAGTGCCAGCTTATAACGACCCCTGTGAGTTTCCGAGACTCTGTGGGAGTTGAAAGTCCAGCCTTTCTCCCTTGGAGCTGCTGCTGGTTTCAAACTGCCAACCATGCGATCGCAGCCCAAGGCTGCGCATCCCATTTGAAATCGCAAGCCCATTTCACCACGAGAGCTCCTAAAATAATAGTTATCCTAACCCCCAACTCACTGCCATCGACTCGATTCCGACCCACAGTGGATCTACAGGACAGGGTAGAACTGCCTTACAGAAGTGGAAAGCCTCCTTTTTATCCTGCTTAACTATATCTATCTATCTATCTATCTATCTATCTATCTATCTATCTATCTATCTATCTATCTATCTATCTATCTATCTATCTATCTATCTATGCTTTGAGCAGTATGCTCTTTAAGATCCATTTCTTTTTTTAATAAGTCATTTTATTGGGGGGGGTCTTACAGCTTATAACAATCTTATAACAATCCATGCATCGATTGGATTGAGCATATTTGTACATATGTTGCCATCATCATTTTCAAAACATTCTCTTTCTACTTGAGCCCTTGGGATCATCTCTTTTTCCCCCTCCCTCCCCGCCCTCCCCCCCTCGTGAACCCTTGGTAAATTATAAATTATTATTTTCATATCTTACACTGTCTGCTGTCTCCCTTCACCCACGTTTCTGTTGTTCGTCCCCCTGGGGGGTGGGGGTTTCTATGTTGATCGGTTCTCCCTTTGCAGATCTCTTTCTATGGGGTCACACTAGCAGCAGCTGGCCAGATCGGAAAGGAGCCTCGGGGCTGTGGGTTTGTGTTTAATGGGGAGAAAGGAGTGTGAGGGTCCTGCACAGGTGGAGGTCAACCGTGTTGCCAAACTGAGTTAGTGCTGTTGCTGTTGGGATTCTCCGCCACAAACTGAGCCCACGGGGCCCTGGCCGTGCAATCCTTCAACACCTGACTCTGGCCGGCCTGCTCCCTGCCACCCCGAGAAATGGCCTGTGCTGGAACACTATACAGTGTTACCATGGCCCTTAAACACAGGCAGTGACGTCGGAAATGCAGGCCTGAGCTCCAGCGTCCCAGGAGCACTGACCCTCAGTGTCCCCAGTTCCTCTGACCCTTCCAGCCCCCCTCGAGCACCTCAGGGCCAGCTTCCCCGACCCATCTTCCACGTGGGGAGTTGTGCGCCGGCCCCCAGGCCTGTTCCCTCTCCCCACAGCTCATCTTCCCTGACCTGGTGGAGGGCCTGGTGCTGATGAACATCGATCCCAATGGCAAAGGCTGGATTGACTGGGCTGCCACCAAGGTGAGCGTGGCTGCAGCTGGTCGCCTGGGTCGCCCCTGGGATGGGCCTGGGGACATGTGGGCAGGGCAGTCACACTGGCTTCCTTCCACCTCCGCCTGCAGCTCTCTGGTCTCACCAGCACTTTACCTGACACGGTGCTAACCCACCTCTTCAGCCAGGTAAGGGGGGGCCAGGCTGGAGATGGCGGCGGCATCTCAGGAGCCGTGGGCAGGCGGGCGGCCGGTGTCTCGCTCTGGGCATGCATGGTTCACGGAGTCAGCCGAGCGCCTGGGGGTGGGACTAGGGCTGCTCTGGTCGTGAGCCCGCGCCCCTCTGTGCACCCCGCTACCCTGGGTCCAGGAGGAGCTGATGAACAACACCGAGCTGGTCCAGAGCTACCGGCAGCAGATTGGGAACGTGGTGAACCAGGCCAACCTGCAGCTTTTCTGGAACATGTACAACAGGTGTGGATGGCGGGGGTGGCAGCACCCACCCTCGAGCTTGACAACTCCCTGCTTTGCCAATGAGAGGGCTTGCTCCTTGCCCGGGGTGTCTTGTCTCACCCCCATGTAGGGCAGAGCAGGGTGTGGAAGCAGGGCCATCCTGGGCCTGAGAACCCACAGAGAACCTGGGAGACCCAGCCAGCCCTCCCACACAACTAGGAGAGGAGGGGGGTGTGCTGCCCCTCCCAATGAGGACCCTGAGGGCGATGGGGGCAGGTGGATGCCCACCTGGGCTTGGGAGTTTGGGAAGAAGTCAGACTGCGGGGAGCCCTGTGAGTCCGGGCCTGTGTCTCCCTGTGTGCAAAGCTGCTCACTGCTAATGAGCCCTGAGCAGGTTTGGTGGCTCTGGGGCCAGCCTGGGGGCTTCTGAGGATGTTGGGCTACAGAGCCACTTCGGGGTGATGTGGTGTGGCAGAAAGCAGCAACCGTGTCCTGCGGGGATGCCCACGGCTGCCTCTGTTCCCATCAGTCGCAGGGACCTGGACATTAACCGGCCTGGGACGGTGCCCAATGCCAAGACGCTCCGGTGAGTGTCCCCTGGACCCCTCCCAGCCCCTGTCTGTGCGTGGCTGCAGCCAGACCCGACACACCTTTTCCTGTGTCTGTCTGCAGCTGCCCCGTGATGCTGGTGGTGGGGGATAACGCGCCTGCCGAGGATGGGGTGGTGAGTGTGGCTGTACCCTGCCAAGAGGGGGTGGAGACCAAGGCTCATCATCCCTGCTGTCGGGACAGGGGGTGGGGGTGGGGGGGGTAGCCCTGGGGACAGGCACTGCCTGCACAGTGGCTTCTCATCCCACTTCCTGCAGTCTTGCCACCTGTCACTTCCTGGCGTCCCCTCCATGCATGGAGATGGGGCTGTGGTAAAGCCAGGGCAGGACCACTCTCTGCCCCCCCCCTGCCCCCCAGCTTCTCTTCACTCCCCACCCACTGCCTGGGAGCGCTCTCTCCTCCAGCATTTGATTGCTTCCCTGACATGAGTAGTTCTGGATCCTGTCTGGCCTGGCCACCACTGGGCACTTGTTTGGGGTCTGTGTTTCCTGCTGGGTTCTGGCACCAGCTGCCCTCCTCAGTACAGAGGAGGCTAGAGATTGTGTGCATGTGGGTGTGGGGTGTCCACCATGCCCAGGGCAGCCCCGAGCTGCACAGAAACTAGCCAGCCTCCTGACGCTCAAGGAGGGGTGGGCAGAGCAGAGGTATGGGGCACTAGCCCGCCTGGTCCAGGCAGGGGTCTTTGAGTATCCTGCTGACCAGCACCTTCCCTGGGTCACTGTTCCAGGAGCCGCTCTGGCCCCTCCTCCCAGCCAGCACGGGCTCCCGAAGCCATAGCACAGCCTCTGCCCACACGGAGCTGCTAACTGAGCTCCAGGGACTTGGCCTGTGATGGCATTGCCCCGCCTGGGGGGCTGAACCTGGGTCTGCCTCTCTGAGCCCCTCTCACTGCCTCTGGCTGGGATTAGAACCACTTTTGCAGCTGGTGGTCAGGATCTCCCTCCCCGACGCCATCACTCGCTCACTGCCCTTGCCCCCAGGTTGAATGCAACTCAAAGCTGGACCCCACCTCCACGACCTTCCTAAAGGTGAGGTTCTCCCTGCCCTCTGCAGGGAGGGGTCTGCCCTTGGGCTTCCCGGAGTGGGACCGTGGGTCCGGCCGGGGAACTTGTCCAAGTGTTGGCGGGCAAGGCATCAGCCCGAGCAGCCCATGCTTGGCTGACTCCTCGCTCTCTCTCTCTGCTTGCTGCAGATGGCAGACTCCGGGGGACTCCCCCAGGTCACACAGGTGAGGCTTGTGCCCCTCCCCCCTTCCATTCATACTAGCCTGGAGGTGGGGGGCAACCTCCAGCCTCCTCTGACTCCTGTCAGTCAGTCAGAACATGTCCCTGTCCTACCCCCTTGCAGCCTGGGAAGCTGACAGAAGCCTTCAAATACTTCCTGCAAGGCATGGGCTACAGTAAGTACACGCTCACTCCAAATGGGGGGTCTGGGGGCAGGGTGGGGCCAAGGATGCTACCTGGCCCCTGCCACTTACTTATTTACCTGATCCACTACGTGCCCCACCTGCGTGGTACAGTGAACCTCCCATGCACCCTTGGGGAGGCCTTAGGGCGTTGCTTGGACCTGTGGTGGGGGAGCCCTCTTCTCCCAGCCTTGGGGGGCTAGAGGTCTTACAAATGGTGTCTTATAAGTAGGAGACACACCATCCCCTCCTGTTGGGCTCTGGGGACATCGCTGGGTCTGTAGCACCTGAGAAGGCCGGTGGTGCCCAGAGGCATCATGGGAGTGGGCTTGGAGTGGGAGAACTAGGGAGGAGAGGTAGGGCCCTCTGGGTTTCAGAACTGCAGCCAGCCGGACTTGAGGCAGGCACATCTGAAAATGGAGCTAAGGGAACTGTGGGCTGGGGCTACCTTTTGACCTCATCCCTACCTTCTACTTCCCAAGTTTCCCCCCATGCAAGGATGAAGAGACTCCCAGACGGCGAGTATATACACACACACACACACACACACACACACACACACACACGCACACACTGCCTTTAGGTTACTCTCCTGGGAAGCTCCCTGCTCGCCCTGAATGTGTTTTAGGGGAGCCTGTCGGGTGCACATCACCCTGCCCCTGCTGGCCTCTCTCAGCATCACCACAACAAATGCGGGCTAGATGAAGGACTCGCACCTTTAGTTTCTGGGAAGGCTCTGTGGGTCTCTTGGGGGCAGAGCAGCAGGCAGCATTGGGAGCGATGGCCGAGGTTGTGCTGCACCTGAGTTGAGAGGCCCAGCAGAGTGGGGGCCTGCTCTCAGGGCGCCCTCAGGCCCCACACATCTTCCCTGCTGTGGTTTCTTTGGGTGCCGCTGCCTCGGTGGTGGGCTGGAGCGGGCTCTCTGAGGCTCTGGCCCTGGCCCACCGCATTCTGCCCGCTCGTTTGTCTCATCTCTGACTGGTCTCCACGCCTCCGTGAACCACTCTCTCTCCCGTGTCCGGTGTCACCCACGCCCACCTGTCTGGATCTGTCTTCTCTCTTAGTTGCACATTTGAAGGACCGAAGGCTGAGTGGAGGAGCAGGTAGCCTTGTGGCTCTCGCACACCCCCCACCCCGCCGCCCCGTGCATGGACCCCTTCGCCCAACCTCCTCTGTGCAGTGCTGCAGGCAGGCCAAAGCTTGCTGTGGTGGGAACCTTCTGTGTCCTGCTCGCTCCAAAGCCGGAGGGATGCCAGGTCCGCTATGGGATCTGGCCTGGCAGGGCTGGAGCCTGGCTGAACTTAGAGCGTCTTGCTTCTAGATTTCCAGGGTCTGGGCGTGTGGCTTCCGGAGTTGATGAGTTGGAAGCTGCAGCCGCACTCAGTGAGTTTCCGAGACTCTGAACTGCTGACGGGAGTAAACAGTTGTCTTTCTCCTGCGGAGCAGCTGGAGGTTTCAAACTGCTGGCCTTTCGGATCACAGCCCAGTGCATAATCACCATGCCGCAGCGCTCCCGCTTGGTTGAGTTCAGGGGCTAGAGTGTGCTCCCTGCAGGTCTCACTGATGAAACTGCAGATGCGTTGGTTTAGGGCCCACTCCTTGTCCCCTTCCTCTGCAGAGCAGACCTAAGCCCCCCCACCCTCCTGCAACATCCTCTTGAGGCAAGCAACATGGGGACACGCCACCTCCTTGCAGCTGCTCAGGGGACGGGCTGATGCCCAACCTGGCCTCTGCCCCGCCCTGTGGCCCTCACTGGTGCTGGCGCTGCATGCCTGGGCTTGGAGCAACTGGCAGCGGCCTGGCTTGGGGTGGGCTGGCCCCTGTCTCTGGAAGCGCAGGTCTCGCTGATCGCTTTGCTTGCAGTGTCTCCTTTTCCTGCCTGCTGCTGCCCGGCCCCGCTGCCTGGCCCTGAAGCCTGCCCTGTCTCTGTCCTCAGTGCCCTCAGCCAGTATGACCCGCCTGGCCCGCTCGCGCACCGCCTCCCTCACCAGCGCCAGCTCGGTGGACGGCAGCCGCCCGCAGCCCTGCACCCACTCCCACTCGGAGAGCAGCGAGGGCTTGGGCCAGGTCAACCACACCATGGAAGTGTCCTGCTGAAGCCTGGGTCCGGTGAAGATGCCCACCTGCCCGCCCGCCCGCATCGACCCACCATCCCACTGCCACCCCTGCGCCTGCTCCTTCCCTTTAGTTTATTTTGGTGAGAGAGTGTAGGGGAGGAAATGGGGTTACTTCTCTTTTGTTAAAAAAAAATGATGGGGGGGTGCCTATGTTAAATGCTACAGCCAAATGGTAGTTCAAGGGACTTACTACTCCCTACCCTCAATTCACCTAACTTAACCCCTCTCAAGCCCCCCCCTGCAGCCCAGGCACAGACAGACAGGGCCGAAGTACAGGGAGGGAGGAAGGCAGAGGTTTGAGTCCTTTTCTGGCCAGGATCGAGGGCAGTCTCCCAGATTCTGGAAAGGGTGTGCGGTGGCCTTTTGGGCAAGCAAGATTGAGGGAAGGCAAGGATGGAGATTGAGGGGCTGCGGGGAGAGCTCGGACAGCGAGAACATGGGGTCCATCTCGCGCCCTGGCATGAGAGCCAGGAGATAGTAGTGGGGAGCCCCAGGGATCAAGGAACTTTTGGGTTCTGAAGGACCCCGCCCCCCCCACTTTCCCAACCCCTGCGCCAATTACATCTTTGTTTTAGTATATGTGACAATCATCTGAGCAATAGCCACAAGGGGGCGCTCCTAGCACAGTTTTCTGGACCTGGCTTGCACTGTAGGGCCAGGTGGGCAGGGCTTTGGGACACAAGATTCTCTGCCCAGGGGAACCCCACAGATGGTCCCTTACATCCTGCCACCCTCAGATACTGTCCCCAAGGAAGATGTTGGCCATCGCCATGGTGACCTGACAAGGCACTGAGGGTGAAGGCTGGATGGAATAGCTCTGGTGTGTGGATAGCCGGAGACAGTGGGGGCTGTGAGTTCCCACAGGGCCCTTCCAGGCCCCAGTTAGCAGGAGGTGGCCTGTGTGGTTTCCTGGGAGACTTCTGGTTGACTGAGGCTAAATGTTTGTAGACATCACTAAGGAGTGAGTTCATTGAGAGGAACCGGGTCCACAGTCCCTCACCTTTTTCTATCTCAGTCCGTTACAGTGGGCTGATTCTGGGACTGTCCCTGCCCTGGCAAGGGAGCCTCCATCTCCGGGCTCCCCTTCCCCCCGGGCCCCCTCCTGCCCTGGAGGCCCACAACTGTGCCATGCACATCCCACCCACCCATATTACCAGGTGGAATCTCCTGGCTCAGAAACCAGGATGCAGTGGCCACAACCCCCAGACAAGCAAATGGGACTGAGATGGCAATGAGAAGGGTGAGGAGCTGGCAGGGCATGCAGGGAGGGTTCCGAGGGTGACGACACCCACGTGGGGAAGCTTCCTCTTTGCACATCGCCCACCCCTCTATAATCTTAAGCCATTACTAGACCGTGCCAGGACCTGGCGGAGTGCTGGTCTGTCCCCTGTTCTAGTCACTCACATGCTTCCCGAGACTATTGTACGTGACTGTGAGATGCTGGTAGAATTAATCCCCCTGACCATAGACAGCGCTGCGAATCTTGGACCTTCCCCCCACCCCTTTTTTAAGTTTGCTGTGTTCTTTCAGATGAGATATCTATAAATATCTATACAGTACGTATATATATGTATATTGGACCTTCTGTGTGTGTGTGTGTGTGGTTTTTTTCCCATTGGAAGTAGTCTCTGCTTTTTCCGGTCAAGTTGAACTTTTAGCGTTTTCCTCTCTGTACGCGGTGAAGAGCCTAAATTTGTGAATTCTCATGAGACTCATGTCATGAGACTTTGAGGTGACAAAATGTAAAACAAAGAAAGAAAACCTTGTCAATGGAGAAGGATTTGACTGTGCTGAAAAGCTAATAAAGACACTAAGAAGAATGTGAGTGTGGTGGTGGCCGTGTCCTGCAAGAGAGAAGGGTGGGACTGGCGCTTCACCAGTGAAGGGGGCGTGGGACTTCCCTGTCTCCACAGCTCTAGCCCTGGTCACACACACACACACACACACACACACACACACACACACACACACACAGTGTTGCTGATGCAGACATCAATTCTCCATGGCAGGTATTATCTCGGCTTTAGAGGCGAGGAAACTGAGCTTCAGATAGGATTTGCCTGCATAAAAGGCCAAGCGGTTCAAACCCACCTGCTGCTCCCAGAGAGAAAGATGAGGCTGTCTGCTCCCCTACAGATTAACAACCCTGCGGATCCCTGTGTAAAGTCCCTGGGTATCAGAACAGACTCAGTGGCAGTGGGTCCTGGGCTTTCGGAAGCAAGAGGCCAAAGCCCATGGGATCCTGTAACCTCTGTGTTTGCCGCCTCAGCCATTTCCTTGACTTTAACGGCATGTTACTTAGTGGCTCCTGCGTAACCACCAGGGTTCGTACATTTCATGGATGACAGTGGGCCCTTGTGGGTTGTGGTGGGTACAGGTTGGGCTGCGATATGCAAAGTCAGCAGTTCGAAACTGCCAGCCATTCCCAGGGAGAAAGATGGGGCTTTCCACTCCCGGCAAGAGTTACAGACTCAGAAACCCACGGGGCAGTTCTACCCTGTCCTGTGGGGATCGCTATGAGTCGCCTTCGACTCGATGGCAGGGAGTTTGGTTTTGGGGTTGGTTGTAGGCCAGCTAATAAAAAAGCTACTCAATCAGCAGACTACATACCCAATATGTGCTGAGCAGAAACGCAAACGGGAGGATATACGAGTAGCAACTGGTGGGTGGCGTGGGAAGAAAGCCTGTTCTAGACCCAGGAACCTCCTGGCCCCAGGGGCCTGTGCACAGACTGTAATGAGCAGGGGCAGCAGGGAAGCCGTGGCTAACAAGGGGCTCTGGTCACCCACCCAGATGCGCTTTCCTCCAGCCAGCTGCCAGGGCCTCAGCGTCTGACCCACAAACTGCGATTTGTTCTGCCCACTCCCCCCTCTGAGCCCCTGAAGACCTTTCAAAGGGGAGGGTTGTATGTGGTTGGGAAACAGGATCCAGGGGGCACCAGTGCCACCTTCCTAGACCACCCTTTTACCAACTCAACACAGGCCACCAACCCATTTCTGCACGGTCCTTGAGACACAGAGACTCGCAGAGGGCAGAGTGGAACTGTGTCCAATCGCAAAGCAGCTAAGGCTGCAGGGTCCTTCACTGACCTGCAGTGACCAGCCTCACCACCTCCCCACCAGGGCGCCTGGGACAGGGCTCACCTGGACCCAACCAGGGCAGCTAGAGCTTCGGTTGGAGCCCCATGGTGCTATGGGTCTGTGGTTCAAGCCCACGAGCTGCACTTTGGAGGACAGTGGAGGCTAGCTGCTCCTGTAAAGATGTACAGTCTTAGAAATCCTTTTGTAGCGTTATTAGGAATCCGAAGCGAATCTCTGTTAGTGGGCTTGGGAGAACCAAGAAAAGGAATCCTGGTGGCGCGGCAGCTCAAGCGTTGCATTGCTTGCTAACCGAAAGGTGGGAGATGAGGTTGTCTGCGTCCACAAGGGCTTCCTCGCTGCCGTTGAGTCGATTCTGACGAACGGCGGCCCTAGAGGACAGGGGAGCACTGCGCCTGTGGGTTTCCGAGACTGTAACTCTTCCCAGAAGTGAAAGCCTCGTCTTTCTCCCGCCGAGCGGCTGGTGGTTTTGAAACACTGACCTTGAGGATAGCAACCCGATGCGTCACCCCTACGCCTCCAGGGCTCCTCAGAAGCAGTTCTACTCCGTGTGCGAGAGGCGGAATCCGCTCGATGGCAGTAGGTTTTTGGTTTTGAACTCAAAACGTACCATTTCGGGAGGGCAGTGCCAGCTGAAACCTAGTGCTACCAGGGCCGGGGCGGGGCCAGGGCAGGCGGCCCTCCCCGTAAGGCCCCGCCCCGGAGGCGTGGCCAGGGCGCCGGAAGCGGCTGTCTGCG